TGAGAAATCTTCATCCCAATCATGATTATCCTCCTCGTTAATGATGCGCAATCCAGCATCGTAAACCGTTTCTTGACGAGGAACTTGTGGGAAATTTTCCTCGCAATCTTGATTATCCTCCTCGTTAATGATGCGCAATCTAGCATCGTTCTCAGTATTAGATATGCCAAAGTCGGTAATTTCCATGAAGTCAGCGTCATAATTGTTGTCTTCAATTATAAGCTCATCTTTCACCATTGGTGCCGAGTAGGGTGCCACTTCGAGAAGGACTTCCTCCATCCGCAATAAATCATTGTCGAAGTGTACTTTCTTGCAGTGCATCAATAAGTCCTCATAGCGAAATGCCTTCAAACCGCAGAGCGAACAAACTATGGTAAATTCGGCGGAGCTGTGACAGTAGATTTCCCCACATTTTGCACTTGGGCGACCACCAAATGTGGTGCCGGGAAATAGTTTAAGCATGGCGAACTTAATTTAATTTTCAGTCCAGACATAAACAAATGCAATCATTTTTTCCCAAATACTTGGCATTATCGATGGTTTTAAAAAAACTATCGATAGTTATTTTACATAAGATCGTGTCAGACTTGGCAATATTTCCGACTTTTCCACGCAATTCGCTGTCAACTTGAGAAAGGGAAATTTTTAGTTTGGAATAAACTAACTATCTCACTTGAGAGGAGTAACATTGTACTCTGACAGTTCCACAGGTTTTTGCCCGAAAAATACTGGAACAAACTCTTATTTCCATATGTGAACATTAACGAAGGAATTGGCACTTTTCGGAAATCAAATGATTTTGTTTAGGTAGGGCACTTCGGCGCTAACGCTAGGCGTCAGAAACCGCTCGGCCCGACGCTTCATTCCCACGACAGCCGGTTCTACGTACCGGAATGACTCGGGTTTTACCCGACCAAGGGATGTTGTTTCGGCGATCTAACCCCGTTTAGGTCGGCGAAGTATCTCAGAAGTTGTTCGTCCATACGGCTACACTCGCTACGTTTTCTTCTACTCAGAGCTGGCAACGAGTCAAACCCAAGGCCAGAAATCTACACCTGCTGTGTATGCCAGAGACGACTACACCACAACTCCACCTCAGTGAAGTGCAATGCTTGCGAGGGGTGGAGTCACCTCAAAGTCTGCTCAGGACTACGGACACATCGGCAGTGGACCACGGGTTTTGTGGCCCCCTGCTGCTCAAACAGAGCAGCCTCCACGGCTAACCCCAGTCCACTTGAGCAGTCCCACACAAACACCACAGCACAACAACATAACACATTAGACCACACCACAACTGCTACAGACCACAGAACAGACACAACCGCACCAGCTCCCCACACGCCGCCGCCAACCACTCCTGGTTCCTCCTACAATCTGCACGGTATGTCAGACCAGGATATTCCGTAATGTGACATCAGACAAGTGCAACACCTGCCTTGGCTGGTGCCACTTTAACGCATGCTCAGGTCTGCGCACCACTCGAGATTGGACGAGGAACTTCGAGGGCCCGTATTGCGCTGCTCGGTCGCAGACCTCAACTGCGACGCCTCCCGCCACCACCACAGGGCGGCAACCACCTCAGCAACGACCACACACATCCCTCACACCCCGCATCACCACACGTCTCCCGAAACACATGAAGCTCCTTCAATTTAACTGTAACGGGCGTCACAGCAAGATCGAGGAAATAACCGTCTTCATGGGATATTGATAGGTGCGGTCCAAGAGACGAAGTTGCACAGCAATTCAACACTGTTGAATTATGCCGGGTACAACGTGCACCGTCGAGATCGCGAGCGGGATAATGGTGGTGCAATATCGTCTTATCGAAGCAGATATCGACCGGGGGGACTGACTTGGGTGAGCAGATAGACGATTCGACATTCTGCAGAAATTTCCCCGCTGAAGCGGCTGTTCTAGCCGATGAGCGTGATAGCCTTCGTCAGGCCGATCCCGGAGATCCCCGTATCAGGGATCTCAACGCGGAGATTCGGCAACTAGTAAACGTACATAAATGGAAGAAGTGGGAAGAGCATCTGAAGACCTGTAGCTTCACCTCTGGTGTGAGTAAGCTTTGGTCAACCGTGAGGTCACTGTCCAATCCGACGAAGTACGACGACAGAGTCGAAATTTCTTTCGGCGACCATGCTTCGTCGGACACGAAGCGATGCGCGAGCTATTTTAGCCGGCAGTTCATACTGCATCCTCCGGTGGACAAAACCAAGCGTCGAGTGACCAGAAGGTTGCACAAACTGCCAACAACCTGTGCCCCCCTTGATTTCACTTGCGGTGAAGTTCAGGTGGCCATCGGGAGGGCGAGTGCCTCCAAAGCCATGGGTCCCGACCGAATATGCATGCTGATGCTGAAAAATTTGGGTCCTGCGTGGAAAGCGTACCTAACGGAGGTCCTCAATTTGTCTATAGCCACTCTGATCATCCCAGACATCTAGAAGGTGGGGAGAGTGGTCCCCCTGCTCAAACCGGGGAAACCTGCCAACATAGGAGATTCTTATCCGCCGATAACACTCCTTTCCCCGGTAGCGAAGACACTCGAGGCCTTCCTGCTCCCGTATTTCACAAACCACTTGACCCCAGCGAAGCATCAGCATGGTTTCCGTAAAGTGCACAGTACAACAACAGCACTTAACGCCACTAACACTCAGATAACTCGTGGCCTTAACCGTAAACGTCCCTGTGAGAACGATTCTAGTAGCGTTGGACCTTGTCAAAGGCTTTTTACACTGTCAGCCATTCCACGCTACTAGAAGATATAGAGACTTCCTCTCTCCCACAGAGGCTCAAACGGTGGTGGTCGACACTGGTCGGTAATGTTTAGAGACAAATCAAGCAAACTTAGAAAAATAAAACAGGGGTTTCCACAGGGTGGTGTCCTTTCCCCGCTACTGTTTAACTTTTACATTTCAAAGCTCCCTCAACCACCAGAGGGAGTCGCGATTGTCTCTTACGCCGACGATTGCTCGATCATGGCGACTGGGAATGGAATTGATGACCTGTGTTCGAAAGTAAACGGTATCTCTCCGAACTTTCTCGCTTCTTCACTGCAGAGTGTCTAGCCCTCTCCCCTACGAAATCCTCTGCGACCCTGCTCACAACCTGGACGAAGGAGGTCAGGCTACCGCTGGGAATTCACGTCGATGACACACCAATTCCGACGGTGAATAATCCCAAAATACTCGGAGTAACATTTGACAGCCTGCTCTCCTTTTCTGTGCACGCAACCGCTATTGTCAATAAAGTACAGAGCCGCAACAAGGTGCAAGTCTCTATCCGGCAGTACTTGGGGCAAAGACAAAGAAACGTTGCAGGCAACATACAAGGCAATAGGCCGGCCGGTATTAAACTATGCAGCACCAATGTGGCCGCCGGGGACTAGTAGGACACAGTGGATGAAGCTACAGACAGTACAAAACACAGCACTTAGGACAGCGGCCTCCTGATGTCACCAGAACACCACCTCCACGATGAGGCGAAAATGCTCCCAATCAGGGAGCACAACACGATGCTCTGCAAGCAGTTTCTGGTTGGGAGCCACAGATGTCATCCAAATAGACAGCTGCTTGCGGAGGAGCCCTCGCCAAGGCACGTCAAGAGGCATCTATATGAACTGACGGACGAAGTCCAGAGGTTCATTAAGCAGCCTCTGGACCCGTCAGCTTACAGACAGGCCCTGAACGGCATTCACAGGGACGTAGTCTCGAGTTATTCAGACTCTAGACCTGTGAATGCCGTTCTAGGCACACAAACACCGGACATTGACGCGACGGAGCTCCATCTGGCTACTGCAGCAGGCTAAACTCCTACCTGAGTAGGCTAAATGCGGATGTGCCGAATGAATGTCCGGTATGCGGAGAGACCTCTCATGACTCGAAACATCTCTTCGCATGCCCGGAAAACCCCACAGCCCTAACGGCGTCGTCCCTGTGGACCGACCCCAAAGGGGCTGCACGCTTCTTGGGGCTGTCGTTAGTGGAACTCGCAGCCGCTACAACAACACCAACGCTTTTGTTTAGGTATGGCAGTTAAATTGATGCCTAGTGGCATCCCCAACCTTCAAAACAAAAAAATATT